AAAAGCATAATGCAAAGAGAGGAAAGAGACAAAAGGAGAGGAAAGAAAAAGAGGACTGAAGAGAGGAAGAGGAGGGAGGGAAAGGAGAGGAAAGAAAAAGAGACTGAAGAGAGGAAGAGGAGGGAGGGAAAGGAGAGGAAAGAAAAGAGACAAGAGGAGAGGAAGAGGAGGGAGGGAAAGGAAAGAAAAAGACCGAAGAGGAGGGAGGGAAAGGAGAGGAAAGAAAAAGAGACAGGAGAGGAAGAGGAGGGAGGGAGGGAAAGAAGAGTAAAGAAAAAGCAATGCAACGAGAGAGGAAAGAGACAAAAGGAGAGGCGAAAGGGACAAACAAGAAGAGGAGAGGATAAAAGGGAGAGAAGTGAGAAAAAGAAGTGGAAAGGAGAGGAGAGAAGTATGACATATGTAAGAAAAAGAAGAAAAGGAGGGAAGAGGAAAGGAGAAAGAAGAGGAATGAGAAAAGGACAGGGAAGGAGAAAAGGTAAAGGAAAGGGAACTTTTCTTTCTATTAATAATTCTCTGAATAAAATGCCAGGATTTATACATTTGTGCCCTCACTGTGATCTTGCTGAATATCTCCTTTCATTGCTGAGGGTCGTGTCATGGCCATCCTCCCTCCCAGCCATGAAGATTCACCTACCACACGGCTCTATCTGCGTCAAAGACTGAGAAAAGATCCAAATTTGCGTTTTTTGTTACCTCTGGAAACGTTCTGGCTATTGTTGTTCCGGGATCTGAGATGCAGAAGCGTTCCTGATTACAGCCCAAGCAGACATTTCATTGGTTAATGACACTTTAAAAAGCAAAAAAAAAAAAAAAAGAAAGAAAAAAAAAAGCTTTTAAGTCCATTAGCGCCGAGACAAAACGGAGAGAAGATTCTGACAACATGGCCGCCGCGTCCCTGGTGGTTTGTGATGAGCAGTCAGAAGACTCGTAGATTGCTGTTCCAATGTGTTGGGAGATGGATTCCCGGAACACATCAGGAGCGTTCTGCAACAATCTATGACAAAGTGCTACACCGTATCCAATCCAGACTTCTGATTGGTTGACTCGGAGCTTTTCTTCCATCGTTACGGTAGAGGTCCCGACCTTTGTATTTCTCTGGTTGGGGTGTGATGGTGCTGGACCACTGAGGATGGAAGTCGGTTCTACCGAATGAAGTCTGTTGTTCTTGTAGGAGGTGAGATGATGGTGGTAAAAGCAAGGTGTGCTTCAACCTGGTTCCCAGTAAAGTCCTGGTCTCCGGTAAAGTCCTGGTCTCCGGTAAAGTCCTGGTCTCCGGTAAAGTCCTGGTCTCCGGTAAAGTCCTGGTCTCCGGTAAAGTCCTGGTTCCCGGTAAAGTCCTGGTCTCCAGTAAAGGCCTGGTCTTCATTAAAGTCCTGGTCTCCAGTAAAGTTCTGGTTCCCGGTAAAGTCCTGGTCTCCATTAAAGTCCTGGTCTCCAGTAAAGTTCTGGTTCCCGGTAAAGTCCTTGTCTCCGGTAAAGTTCTGGTTCCCGGTAAAGTCCCGGTTCCCGGTAAAGGCTGGTCTCCGTAAAGTCTTGGTTCTCGGTAAAGGCCTGGTCTTCAGTAAAGTCTTGGTTCTCGGTAAAGGCCTGGTCTTCGTTAAAGTCCTGGTCTCCAGTAAAGTCCTGCTTCCTAGTAAAGTCCTAGTTCCCGGTAAAGTCCTGGTCTTCGCTAAAGTCCAGGTCTCCAGTAAAGTCCTGGTTCTCGGTAAAGGCCTGGTCTTCGTTAAAGTCCTTCTCTCCAGTAAAGTCCTGGTTCCCGGTAAATTCCTGGTTCCCGGTAAAGTGCTACCCCTCTGATCGTGACAGTCCAACAAAACAACGACTTCTGATGTTCTTATCTCTTGAAATTCTTTCAAAACATTTATTTGGTGTTGCCTATATGGTGGTCACGCCCGAAACTTGATTAATTTTTTGGCCTCCTTTTCATCTTATTCCATCTCCGGGATGCTCGGTACGCTTTGCTTCCTTGACCCATACTGGGCCTGTTGGCTCAACGGCAGAAGTTGGCTTCTTATTTGTTCTTGTTGGCAGCTAGAACAATTTGCTCAGGCATGGAAGAGCCCGTCTGTCCCTTTTCAGGGGGTGAGGGACCGTATGACCACTCTGATGTTCCATGAACAGATGCCGAGTATCTGTAACGACTCCCAATGAAAATTTTTGAAAATATGGGAGCCGTGGTTGACATATGCTTTTCTCACCGGTCCCCTGGTCCATTGACCATGGGGAAACCCTTCACTGCCTCACTTTAGATCCATTCCTGACCCCAAAACTGGGAACATTTTGGTGTAAAAAACCCTTCAACCCTTCATGATGATTATGGGGCTGTTCCTACTTTCCAGGAACTTGCGTCTAAATATGATCTGCCCAATTGGATGATGTTCCAATACTTTCAGTTGCACCAAGCTACTCGACTCCAATTTCCACATCCTATTCTTCTTCAGCAGATCCTTTTGAATATAGATTAAAGTATTTTCTCCTTGTAGGAGGTGAGATCATGATAAAAGTAAGGTGTACTTGGACCTGGTTCTCGGTCAAATGCTAGCCCTCTGATCATGATAATCCAACAGAAGAACAACTTCTAACATTCAAATCTCTTTAAATTCTTTTGAAACATTTAGTTCCCTCAGAGCTGAGCAACTTAGTTTTTAGGACATACTTCACTTTACCTGGGCCCACCAAGTCTACCCTTAGGGTATGGGCCTTGGCCATGCGTAGGTTCTATAACCCTAACCACCGGTCCCCTGGTCCATTGTTCATGGGGAAACCCTTCACTGCCTCACTTTAGATCCATTCTTCACCCCAAAATTGGGCAAATTTTGGTGTAAAAACCCTTCAACATATGATGATTATGGGGCTGTTCCTACTTTCCAGGAACTTGCGTCTAAATATGATTTGCCCAATTGGATGATGTTCCAATACTTTCAGTTTCACCAAGCTGCTCGACTCCAGTTTCCACATCCTATTCTTCTTCAACAGATCCTTTTGAATACAGAATAAAGTCCGTTCTCCTTGTAGGAGGTGAGATAATGAAAAAAAAAGTAAGGTGTGCTTGGACCTGGTTTTTCGGTCAAATGCCACCCCTCTGATCATGACTGTCCAACAGAAGAACAACTTCTAACATTCATATCTCTTGAAATTATTTTAAAACTTTTCTTTAAGTTCCTCCTCAGAGCTAAGCAACTTAGTTTTTAGGGTGTGCCTCACCTTACCTGGGCCTACCAAGGCTACCCTTAGGGTATGGGCCTTGGCCATGCGTAAGTTCCATAAACCTAGCCACTGGTCCCCTGGTCCATTGTATATTGGGAAACCCTTCACTGCCTCACTTTAGATCCATTCCTGACCCCACAATTAAGCACATTTTGGTGTAAAAACTCTTCAACACATTGATAATTATGGGGTTGTTCCTACTTTGCAAGAACTTGCATCTGAATATGACTTGCCCAATTGGATGATGTTCTAATAGTTGTGCCAAGCTAGTTGACCCCAGTTTCCACATCCGATTATTCTTCAGTCAGGTTTTTGGATAAATAATAAAGTCCATTCTCTTCGTAGGAGGTGAGATGATGATGAAAGTAAGGTTTGGTTGCACATGGTTCTAGGTCAAGTGCTACCTCTCTGAGCATGATGGGACAATCTTTCAACAGACGAATGAATTTTAACATTCATATCTCTTGAAATTCTTTTAAAACATTTATTTGTTTATGTTCGCTCCCATTATTAAGCTGAGCAACTTAGTTTTCAGGGCTCCTAAGGCATATGTGACCTTACCTTGGCCCACTGAGGCCACCATTAAGGTGTGGGTCTTGGCCAGACATAGGGTCCATAAACTCGACTATCTGACCTGATGGAACCTGCTATGGTCCGGACATACAAGGCTTGTGGTCGGAGGTCTTCTCTTCCACTAATTCTTGCCTACATTGGACCCTATGGACCTCTTCTGCTTTGGCCTTTCAGGTACAAATGAGGATGTAAAGTTGACCCACCCCTATGAAAAGGATATCCTTCTTCAATGGACCTGCCACCCACTGTGTCCTCCTGGGAATCCTCCATTGACTCTGTTCCTCCAATGGAAAAACTGGATTTATATCCAGTCATCCCCCACATGACCGCATTGCTGATGGAACCTGCTATGGTCTGGACAGACAAGGCTTGTGGTCGAAGGTCTTCTCTTCCACTAATTCTTGCCTACATTGGACCCTATGGCCTTCTTCTGCTTTGGCCTTGCAGGTACACATGAGGATGTACAGTTGACCCACCCCTATGAAAAGGATATGCTTCTTCAATGGACCTGCTGCCCACTGTGTCCTCCTGGGAATCCTCCATTGTTCTACCAATGGATGAACTGACTTAGTAGAGTCAAAACTGTGCGAACGGAGCTTAGATGCCATGTAGAACCCATTCTTACAAACCTTTACCATTTTCATTACATACCTTTTTTTATGATGTCATCACCAGCTCCCTGTTTTTCCCTGTGCAGTGGATGCAGATCATGGCTGGTGGGAGGGGCCAGCAGGGAGCTGTACATAGGTCTCTCAAGAAGTGGGCTGGCTCTTGGGAGGAGTTACACAAATATTAAAATTGCTTGAGGGGTGGGGGTTCCTAGGCAGGCTGTGACCACCCTAGGTAACGCCCACATGTGATGCTGATCCTCCATTCAATGAATTAAAAGGGCGGGGCCAGGGACGGTCAGAGCTCTATCGGATTGGCTGCAGCTTCTAATGTACATCATGAATGGTGACAACAGCGGGCCATGCCTGTGTAATGAAGCCTATGTGACAGGGTGGCAACGAAGGAGCGCAATTGGGAGTCAGGGAAAGAGCGTGGTCACCCTATAGCAGGAAGTGCCTGAATGAAGGCCTTCATGGCGGGTTCACGAGGGATTATTGCGATGGAAGCTGCAGAATAAACAAGATTTGAGAGGACCCTTCGACGGGGTTATAGTGATCGGTATATATCTGTGTATTCAGATTCATGCAGGGGGGGAGGGTAAATTGTATGCAGTGTGGTGACACCATTGTAATCATTATTCATCTCTATATTCTGCTCAGGTGCTGAGTGGCGGCTTGATTTACCCGTGACTAAATCTGGCTGCCGAAAAACTGACTTCATTAGGAGCTAATCATCAAACTGGGAGATCAAATAATGAGGTCATTATACTGAGAGTGGCTACGGAGCAATTGTGAGGTCTCGCTCCTGGACCACGGAGAACTTTCTGCAGTCTGGTCATCTGTACTATGTCTGCAGTCTCTGACCATCTCCTGTACTGTGTCTGCAGTCTCTGACCATCTCCTGTACTGTGTCCGCAGTCTCTGGACCATCTCCTGTACTGTGTCTGCAGTCTCTGGTCATCTCCTGTACTGTGTCCGCAGTCTCTGACCATCTCCTGTACTGTGTCGCAGTCTCTGGTCATCTCCTGTACTGTGTCTGCAGTCTCTGGTCATCTCCTGTACTGTGTCTGCAGTCTCTGGTCTCCTGTACTGTGTCTGCAGTCTCTGACCATCTCCTGTACTGTGTCTGCAGTCTCTGGTCATCTCCTGTACTATGTCTGCAGTCTCTGGTCATCTCCTGTACTGTGTCCGCAGTCTCTGGTCATCTCCTGTACTATGTCTGCAGTCTCTGACCATCTCCTGTACTGTGTCTGCAGTCTCTGACCATCTCCTGTACTGTGTCTGCAGTCTCTGACCATCTCCTGTACTGTGTCTGCAGTCTCTGACCATCTCCTGTACTGTGTCTGCAGTCTCTGACCATCTCCTGTACTGTGTCTGCAGTCTCTGGTCATCTCCTGTACTGTGTCTGCAGTCTCTGACCATCTCCTGTACCGTGTCTGCAGTCTCTGACCATCTCCTGTACCATGTCTGCAGTCTTTGACCATCTCCTGTACCATGTCTGCAGTCTCTGACCATCTCCTGTACGGTGTCTGCAGTCTCTGACTATTTCCTGTGCTGTGTCTGCAGTCTCTGACCGTCTCCTGTACTGCGTCTGTAGTCTCTGACCGTCTCCTGTACTATGTCTGCAGTCTCTGGTCATCTCCTGTACTGTGTCTGCAGTCTCTGGTCATCTCCTGTACTATGTCTGCAGTCTCTGGTCATCTCCTGTACTGTGTCCGCAGTCTCTGGTCATCTCCTGTACTATGTCCGCAGTCTCTGGTCATCTCCTGTACTATGTCCGCAGTCTCTGGTCATCTCCTGGACTATGTCTGCAGTCTCTGACCGTCTCCTGTAGATTGTCTGCAGTCTCTGGTCGTCTCCTGTAGTATGTCTGCAGTCTCTGGTCGTCTCCTGTACCATGTCTGCAGTCTCTGACCATCTCCTGTAGATTGTCTGCAGTCTCTGACCGTCTCCTGTAGATTGTCTGCAGTCTCTGACCGTCTCCTGTACTGTGTCTGCAGTCTCTGACCATCTCCTGTACAAATGTCTGCAGTCTCTGACCGTCTCCTGTACTATGTCTGCAGTCTCTGACCGTCTCCTGTAGTATGGCTGCAGCCTTTATTTTAGACCAGTGATGTCATCATTGGGTCTCTGTTCTTCTGTACACAATGCAGGCAGATCATGGCTGGTGGGAGGGGCCGGCAGGGTGGTGTACATAGCTTTCTACCAACATCACATCACCCTTCCTCAGTGCTGCTCTCAGGTGCCCTTGGCCCTGATGCAAGCAGTGGGAGGAGTTATGCAAATATCAAATGGCCCTGATGAGCTGGTGTCATTCTGGAAGAGGGGGCGTTCCTAGGCAGGCTGCATTTGCATAGGTAACACCCACATGTGATGCGGAGCCTCTACGATTGAAAGAACTGAAATCCAATAAATAATAGGGGCTGGGCCAGGGACAGTCGGGCGGGGCCAGGGACAGTCCGGCTGGGGAGGAAAGCGCTAGATGAAGCTGGATGTCCTCCAGCCGGGAAATGAGGTGGAGCTCTGACTTGCTGAAGCTTCTAACGCACATTGTGAGACACTCGCAGCGTGCAGTGACATCAGAGTGATCAGGAGAGGAGCCGGCACAGCTGTGCAAGACTGAAGGGGAGGCCAGAGGTCAGACTTTCGAAAAAAAAAAAACCGTGTTGGCGGATCGTTAGATCCATCCAATTGACTTTCACCTCTCCTCGGTTCGATGTATTCCTCCATCCACTGATGACGTCAATACGGCGCTTGTTATCCCGCTACCCATCCTCCATGGCGCTGAGCGGCTCCTTGTCATTCCGAAGATTCCCTTCCAATTCTGTGATCGGCGGAGCGTGCCATCACCTTCCCCGAGATTCCCACCGGGAGGAAGAACGACTCCTCTAATATCCGTCCCTGGAAATGATTGGAGATATCCTACTATCAGCGGTGAGGAGGTGTGATGGCCACTGAGAGGTCCTCCATGGAGTCCCGGGTGGGAGAATGACTCCTCTAATATCCGTCCCTGGAAACCATCGGAGATATCCTACCATCAGCGGTGAGGAGGTGTGATGGCCACCGAGAGGTCCTACATAGAGTCCCGGGTGGGAGAACGACTCTTGTAATATCCGTCCCTGGAAACCATCGGAGATATCCTACTATCATGGTGAGGAGGTGTGATGGCCACTGAGAGGTCCTACATAGAGTCCTGGAGAGAGAGAACGACTCCTCAAATATCTGTCCCTGGAAACCATTGGAGATATCCTACTATCAGCGGTGAGAAGGTTTGATGGCCACCGAGAGGTCCTACATGGAGTCCTAAGAGAGAGAACGACTCCTCTAATGTCTGTCCCTGGAAACGATTGGAAATATCCTACTATCAGCGGTGAGGAGGTGTGATGGCCACCGAGAGGTCCTACATGGGGTCCCGGGAGAGAGAACGACTCCTCTAATATCCATCCCTGGAAACGATCGCAGATATCCTATCAGCGGTGAGGAGGTGTGATGGCCACCGAGAGGTCCTCCTGGGAGAGAGACGTCTCCGAGAACATTCCGAAACATTTTATCCACTCTGCATCCAATGTAACAAATATGAATGATCACAAAGATATGGAAAGTACTACGACTTCCCCTCCAAAAAGGATTTTCATTGGTCACTCCAACCTCAATTTTCAGTTTTTGGTGGTGCCTGGTACCTTCTGACCCTTAGGGACTCTGTGGGTGACATCCCTGAGCTGTGCCCATTATGAGGGGTTTCCAGCATCCCTGTGATGAGTTCCTGGGTCTGTACACCTGCTGTGCCCATTATGAGGGGTTCCCACCATCCCTGTGCCAAGTTCCCGGGTCTGTACACCCGCTGTGCCCATTATGAGGGGTTCCCACCATCCCTGTGCTGAGTTACTGGGTCTGTACACCCGCTGTGCCCCATTATGAGGGGTTCCCACCATCCCTGTGCTGAGTTCCCGGGTCTGTACACCCGATGTGCCCATTATGAGGGGTTCCCACCATCCCTGTGCTGAGTTCCCAGGTTGTACCCCCCCTGTACCCATTATGAGGGGTTCCCACCATCCCTGTGCTGAGTTCCTGGGTCTGAACCCCCGCTGTGTCCATTATGAGGGGTTCCCACCATCCCTGTGCTGAGTTCCCAGGTCTGTTCCTGGGCACCTACTGCTCCCATTCTGGAGTTCCCTCATGCACTGCTTGCATCAGGACTGAGGGCTCTTGAGAGCAGTGCTGGGGCAGGGTGCTGCAATGGAAGCTACGTACAGCACCCTTCCAGCCCATCCCACCAGCCATGACCTGCCTGCATTGCATAGAGAAGCACAGAGATAACATCACTGGCATTCATATAAGGTATGTAAGGAAAACAGGTTGTATGTAATAATGTCATTGTCGTGCTGATGAGGGCTGAGTGGAGGAACCATGGAAGGGCTTTTGGCCCAGTTGCCTGGTTTGGTGGGTTCTCAGAATGGGTTGAGTTGCATGCAGTCCCCTTCAGTGAACGAGCTCACACGTTCCTATTTCACAGTCCTCCCAGCTATCATTCCCTCCCCGGTGAGGTTAGAATCGGTTGAATTTTGCCGTCTGGAGCGCGTCGGTGCGTTCACCTCTCCTTGCCTATAAACCGGTTGCACAGATCTGGTTCCGCAGTCTTCCTTTCCATGTTTCTGTTTGTAAACGAGGTCTCCAAAGCCCGGAGGAATTCCTTGCGAATCCTCTAATGAACCATTAATGAGCTCACCTCCCTGTGGGCCCTCAGAAACCCCGCCTGGAACTCTGCGATTTCCTAACTTCTCCATCAGACAAGAGTTAATTCCTCCTCCCCTACAAAAGACACAGAGCATCGTCACGTCTTCCTCCACGCGTTCCTCCACGGGGGCGGGCTGCGATCCCTTCACGATGCCAAACACCAGGGTTCAATTTTAATTCTTTTACGCGGCAGATCATTAGGCAAGCCCCTGCTGATCAATCTTCTCAGTGGAGGCCTCATCAGTCCGCTGTGCGCTGCACGCCTGCCTTGCCCTGCGGTCTTCATAATGGAACTGCATTCCTTCACACAGGCGGGATGTTCTGGGAGCTAGAGCAGCATTCATGGAAGGCTTTATAAAGATGAACGTAAATATCTTTTTATTTAGCAAAAGATTTGAAATGATCTTCAGCCAGTCCTGGAAAACTGCATACCATGGTCCCTGACCTCGCTTTGCTCCACCGCAGTCAAGTACTACAGCTTGGTAATCAACCCACTCTTAGTACTTGTAAAGTCCCATTCATGGAGAGGAGGAGACATCCATGTCCATCCCAGGGAGGCCTCTTCCCACACTGACATCTTCTGAGACCCCACTTCAGGCCTCATGATTGTCTTAAGCTACTCCAGGAAAGAAGGAGACATCCATGTCCGACCCAGGGAGGATTTATCACAGATTAACATCTTCTGAGACCCCACTTCAGGCCTCATGATTGTCTCAAGCTACTCTAGGAGAGTAGGAGACATCCATGTCCACCCCGGGAGGATTTATCACAGATCAACATCTTCTGGGAGCCCGCTTCCCGGTCTCATGATTGTCCCAAGCTACTCCGGGAGAGTAGGAGACATCCATGTCCACCCAGGGAGGATTTATCACACATAGACATCTTCTGAGACCCCATTTTCAGGCCTCATGATTGACCGATGTCCAAAACTACTCCGGGAGAGTAGGAGACACCCATGTCCGCTCAGGGAGGACTCATCATGCATTGACATCTTCTGAGACCCCACTTTCAGGCCTCATGATTGACCAATGTCCCAAGCTTACTCCAGGAGATTAGAAACATCCATGTCCACCCAGGGAGGACTCACCACACATTAACATCTTCTGAGACCCCACTTCCAGGCCTCATGATTGACCAATGTCCCAAACTACTCCAGGAGATTAGAAAACATCCATGTCCACCCAGGGAGGATTCATCACACATTAACATCTTCTGAGACCCCGCTTCCAGGCCTCTTGATTGTCCCAAGCTACTCTGGGAGAGTAGGAGACATCCATGTCAACCCAGGGAGGATTTATCACACATTGACATCTTCTGAGACCCCATTTTCAGGCCTCATGATTGACCGATGTCCAAAACTACTCCGGGAGAGTAGGAGACACCCATGTCCGCTCAGGGAGGACTCATCATGCATTGACATCTTCTGAGACCCCACTTCCAGGCCTCATGATTGACCAATGTCCCAAGCTACTCTGGGAGAGTAGGAGACATCCATGTCCACTCAGGGAGGACTCATCAGGCATTGACATCTTCTGAGACCCCACTTCCAGGCCTCATGATTGATCAATGTCCAAAACTACTCCTGGAGAGTAGGAGTTGTCCCTGTCCACCCAGGGAGGATTCATCACACGTTGACATCTTCTGAGACCCCGCTTCCAGGACTTATGATTGTCTCAAGCTACTCTGAGAGAGTAGGAGACACCCATGTCCATCCCAGGGAGGACTCATCACACATTGACATCTTCTGACTTTGAATTAATGGAGAGGCTCTGTCTTGGATGCCATCTGATGTGATGGATGGCTCCCATATAAGGGCAGGACTCTGACGTGATGGGGAGCTTTTATATATAGGCCAGACTCTGATGTAGTTGGGTGCTCTTATGTATGTATAGGGGGATTTGATGTGATGTACAGACTTTGATGTGAAAGGGGGGACGTCTGGAATGAGAGGGGCCTTTGACATGATGGGGGGCCTCTCTTATGTGAACCTAGCTCTGAAGTGATGGGGGGGCCTCCAACATGAAGGCGGGCTCTGATGTGATAGGAGGCTCTTATGTATAGGCTGAATTCTGATATGATGGTGCGCCTCTGATGTATAGGGGGACTTTGATGTGATGGAGGTGCTCTGAAGTGAATGGGGGACCTCTGACATGAAGGTTGGCTCTGATACAATGGGGGCTCTCATTTATCTAATGTGAAGGTGTGAAAGGGTGCCTCTGATGTACAGGAGGTTCTAATGCAATATACAGGTACTCTAATGTGAAGAGGGGACCTCCAATGTGATGGTGGAACCTCTGTTGTGAAGAGGGTTCTGATGTGATGGGAGGGACGTCCGATGTGGAGGGGGATCTGATGTGCCTGTACCCTCTTATTGGTGGCACTGGAGATGGTGTCCAAGAAGCTCAT